AGAATTCCAGGCCGTGACAAGTTGGTATCAAAGCACTAGGTTGCTTAGGTCTCACGAGTCACGAGCAGGCTTAGTAGAGTCTAGAGGATCGGTGCGGAGACGTCTGTACTTATCTTTCAGAGGCTATGGAGTTTAGGAACAATTTCACTTATATTCTTCTCTGTTGTGCGATTTTATTCTATCATTGATGATTGAACTCTTCTATTCTTATTCTCTCGCAGTTATCGAGAACATGTACTGCATCTTCAGTTGGACGGCAGCCGGAGCCCCCAGTGGCAGCTCCTACGAGAGGCAAAGGTCGAGGCTGAGGTCACGCTAGAGGCCGAGGCAGAGGTAGAGCTCAGCCCAGAGCTCGAGCAACAGCACCAGCGGTGGAGCCTCAGGTGGATTTTGATGAGGAGGTTCCAGCTCAGATTGTACATGTTGGACCAGCTCAGGTCTCGGAGGGGTTCATCGCCACCCTAGTTCTTTATGACACTCTAGTCCATTTGGTGTGCCTTATGGAGAGTGTGTCCCAGGCCGGTACATTTTCGGTGGCACCAGCCGTCTCTTAGGTTGGGGGAGGAGCAGACTCCCGCTACTCACACTCTGGAGCAGATGGCTCCCTAGTATCAGAGTCCGGCAGCCCCGCTAGCTGGGGTAGTTCAGCAGGTTGTTACGGCACAGGCCGGTGATAGGCCCGCCATGTCTTCTGAGGGCTTATTGAGATTTGACAAGTTTACAAAGCTCTTCCCAGTTCACTTTAGTGGTGCACCTTCTGAGGACCCATAGGATTATCTTGACCGCTGCCATGAGGTGCTGCGGAACATGGGGATAGTTGAGACTAATAGGTCGATTTGTTGTGTTTCAGATGATGGGTTCCGCCAAGAGACGGTGGAAGGATTATGTGTCGACCAAACCAGCTGGGTCGCCTGCTCTTACTTGGGACTAGTTCTCTCAGCTATTCTTAGAGAAGTTCCTCCCTATCACACTGAGAGAGGATTACCGCAGGCAGTTTGAGCGTCTCCAACAGGGTAGTATGACTGTTACTCAGTACGAGACCATTTGGGGATCTAAACCCGTCATGCTCTTCTTTTGCTTCCTACTGAGAGAGAGATGGTGAGGAGGTTTATTGATGGACTCACTTACCCTGTCAGGCTACAGATGGACAAGGAGACCGGGGTGAGATTTCCTTTCAGACGGTTGGTAATGTTGCTAGGAGGATCGAGGTAGTTCTTGCATAGGAGAGAGGGCAGAGTCTAATAAGAGGCCTTGTCATTTCGGTGGGTTCAGTGGTGTCATGTTTGGAGGCAGCGGTACTTTTGGTAGAGGCCATCCTCCCAGGCCGTTTCACTCAGTGCTCTAGGCATCTCACAGTGCTTCAGGTGGTCGTGGCCCTCATATGTCTCATCCCGACCAGCTAGCCTATATTGCACCACCAGCTCCTATTAGTACGCCTCCGCTCTAGAGTTTTCAGAGTGGTTATTCAGGTCGATCGGGTCAGTTTCAGGGTCAGCAATCAGAGCAGTTGAGGTCCTGTTATACTTGTAGTGATCCGAGGCACATCGCTAGATTTTGCCCTCGGGCACCGGGTAGCTCACAGCAGCAGGGTTCTCGTGCCATGGTTACAGATAGGTTGTCCCACCGCCCACTCAGCCAGCTAGAGGTAGGGGTCAGGCAGCCAGAAGTGGAGGTCAGGGCGTTAGAAGTGAAGGCCAGCCAGCTAGGGCCTGTCCCAGAGACGTAGTTTAGAGTGGAGGGCCCCACCCCGATTTTATTCTTTTCCAATTAGGCCCGAGGCCGAGTCATCTGACATTGTTATCACAGGTTTTGTTCCAGTTTGCCATAGAGATGCTTCAGTTCTATTTGATCCAGGCTCTACTTATTCCTACGTGTCATCCTATTTTGCTTTATATCTGGTTGTGCCTTGTGATTCTTTGAGTGCTCCTGTTTATGTGTCCACACCTGTGGGAGATTCTATTATTGTAAATCGTGTCTATTGTTCGTGTGTAGTTACCATTGGGAGTCTCGAGACTAGAGTAGATCTTCTACTTCTTGATATGGTAGATTTTGATGTCATTTGGGTATAGATTGGCTGTCACCTTATCATGCTATATTGGATTGTCATGCCAAAACGGTGACCTTAGCCTTGCCGGGGTTGCCTCGATTAGAGTGGAGGGGGACTCCTGGCCACTCTACCGGTAGGGTTATCTCTTATATGAAATCTGACGTATGGTCGAGAAGGGGTATCTAGCTTATTTGGCTTATGTTCGCGATTCTAGTGCGGAGGTTCTGTCCATGGATTCAGTACCAGTTGTTCGTGAGTTTCCAGAGGTGTTTCCTGCATATCTGCCGTGGATGCCACCCGACAGAGATATGGACTTCTGTATTGATTTGGCTCCGGGCACTCAGCCCATTGTTATTCTGTCATACCGTATGTCCCCGCCAGAGTTGAAGGATTTGATGGAGCAGTTGCAAGATTTGTTTAATAAGTGCTTCATTAGACCTGGTGTCTCGCCCTGGGGTGCGCCTGTGTTGTTCGTGAAGAAGAACGATAGATCGATGAGGATGTGCATAGATTATTAGTAGTTGAACAAAGTCAACATCAAGAACAAGTATCCATTGCCGAGGATTGATGACTGATTTGATCAGCTTCAGGGTACCAAGGTGTTTTCGAAGATTGATTTGAGGTCTGGCTACCATCAGTGGGCCAATGAGCTGCTGCACTTCGCGAAAGCGAAGAAGGCCTGACGCCAGTGATTTAAAACAGTCCAAAAACGGGATTTCTCCTATTTTTCATAAACTCTCCATTAGAGCTCGGCCTAGAGGCGATTTTGAAGGGAAAAATCAACATAAATTCATAGGTTTGTGCACTTTAACTCATTCTTTTCCATTTCTAACATCACCCATTATTTTCTAACCTTAATCTTTGTTCTTCCATGGTAGAAAACTAGGGATTTAGGAAGAATTGGGGGTTTTTTACAAATTAGGGATTTAGACCTCAATTTGAGGTCGGATTCCAAAAATAATTACATGATCGGACTTGGGGGTGAATGGGTAAATGGGTTTTGGTCCAAACCTCGGGTTTTGACCAAGCGGCCCCGAAGTCAATTTTTTTGACTTTTTGGAAAAGGTTTAAAAATCCTATCTTTAAGTATTGTAATTGATTTCCTTAGCATTATTTGACGATATCTAGTCGAATGTGGTTAGATACGAGTGGTTTGGAGGCGTATTCTAGAGGAAAGGCCCCGGTAGAGCTCTGAGTTGATTGCGGAGTGAGGTAAGTGTCGTGGTTAACCTAACTTGAGGGATTATGACTTGTTTGCCTATTTGCTACGTGTTTAAATATTTGGGTACACCGTATATGTGAGGTGACGAGTACTTATGCGTTGTTGTTGGGTTAAAGCATGCGGGTGGAACTTATTTCTTGTAACTTATATCCTTCTTCGAGTATGATATCTATGCTTAGACTAGTTTATTACTTAGTTGATCGTTCTTTCCGCATTTAGAAACTATTTGTGATAATTGAGTTTTTTTGAAATTGGAGGTTTGGTATTGTGGAACCGTTGTTGACGTAAGGTGTATTCTTGCTTCCCAAATGTTATATATTCATTGCTACATGGTAAGGGAGAGCGTTAAAGCACAAAGGGTGATGCCGTGCCGATTATTGTTTCATTATTGATTAATACATAGTGAGGAAGAGAGTTAAAGCACGAAGGGTGATGCCGTGCCGTATTTATTATTTCATGATGAAATTGAGAGTAAAAGCACGAAGGGTGATGTCGTGCCGTATTTACCATTTTATAGAGAGTAAAGCACGAAGGGTGATGCCGTGCCATTATTATTGTTTCATGGTGAGTTGAGAGTAAAAGCACGATGGATGATGTTTATTCATTATGTTTATCCATTTCATTGGCTGAAGGTTTATTTACTGTTTCATGTTGTCATTTCCTGTTGTAGTACCGTATTTTGTACCCCCTTTCACATGTCCCTTCCCATTAGTACATGTTTAATCTTTATTTGTTGTTATGTTGTACGTATATTTTCGTCTGTACAGGTTTATTTACGTGGGTGTCCTGTCATTGCCTCGTCACTACCGCGTCGAGGTTAAGCTCGACACTTACGGAGTACATTAGGTTAGTTGTACTCATACTACACTAGTACACTTCGCATTTCTTGTGCACATTTTGGTACTGGTTCCAGCTGTCCGTGAGGCGCATCAGCTCGGATTAACTTATTTGGAGACTCGAGGTAGATATGCTGGCGTCCGCAGACCTTGAAGTCCGTCCCCTTTCCTCTTTCTCTATTACTATTCACTTCATTCGTGACAATTATACTTATTTCAAACCCTATTTGTAGAAACTCTAGAAGCTCGTGTACTTGTGACTCCAGATCCGAGTTGTACTAGATATTGGATTATTATGCTATTTCATACTTTATTTGGGCTTCATTTATGTTTAATTGGTTAAATTGTTCGAAGTGTTTAAAATTGGCAAAGAATTTCTCTAATGTTGGCTTGCCTAGCAAGTGAAATGTTAGGCGCCATTACGGTCCCGAAAGTGAGAATTTCGGGTCGTGACAATGAGCTTGCTACCAGTATAAACATGATAAGATAGGATTCATCATAAAAACAGCGCAAAATCGGTTTACCATTAATAAACTGTCAACCAAATCTTTGCTCCGCAATATAAATACTAAAACAAATAGTACTTCTTTAAGCATTCATCCTCGAGCAGTACTTGTACGGTCCCACAATGAGCTTTCATTTTCTGGATCACAATATTGGCCAACATAAAGCCCATTGGGAATAAAGGTCTGCTTACAATAGCTTCTCACAAAACGAATAACGGGAAAAACAACTTTCAAAAAAAAAATGCGAAGAACAAAATTCTGCAAATTGATTAAACTGCAACATCCCCAAAAACATTCACATCACCAATCATAGAGTAGTCCCCATCACACCCCAGCCAAAGGAAATTCTTTTTCCAAAGGCACAATGTTCTCATGAGGACAGCTCCAAAAGGAAGAAAGAAGAAAAAGAAATTAATCTCAGTTTCTGAGGGCTCAAAATATATACTACAAAATAGTACAATTAGTAAGCAACAAGGACCATAAAGATTCTAAATCCATAGGAAAAGATAATTCCCAGAGTATGGACAAGCTCCATTAAAATGCCAGTGGATTACCAATCAAACTGACCATAACACTATTTCTATTTCCAATCATATAAAACATTACTCCATCTGCAACAGGCATTTCCACTAACCAAGATAATCAAGAAATCAAGAATCATTCACAAAAAATAAGCAAAAACTAGTAAGTTGAGCTTTCTTCATAACACTGCATTGCAAGGCAATTGAGCCTCATACTATCAAAATGTTGGATGATGCAGTCCCACAGGTCCATGTTAGAGAACCTACAAATGAATGAAACAGATTTCAGAAAATACTGAGAATGATACTTCACTCATGAACATGGAGTAATGCATCTAGCTGTCTGCTTTAATCCATTATCAAAGAGAAACAAAGTTGAAATGGAAGTAAAACCAGCTGAGCAAATAAAGAAAAGGAGCAGAGAGAACAAATTACGGTTAGCAAAAGATTGACAGGTGAAGATGGAGGCAAAGAAACATATATAGCTTCTAATGATCTACACTGACTGGCTTCTCGCCATTAAGTCTACATGGGTCACAGATCCCTACTTTATCCTTCCTCTTCAAGGTAATGCCAGCCATTGTTCGTCTTTAATGTCGGAAACAAGCAGAAAAAACTTTTCACAAAATGTTGAATAACGCACATCGCGTTGGGATGTCTTGAAGCTATTCTAAGCTGGGGATTTTAGAGGGTATACCCTGTTGTACTGTAAAGCAAACCAGGGGTACACTGCGGTCCAAAGATCCTTTGAAGATCTTTTCACTTGAAAAAGGTAAGCCAACTGTCATGGACTCATGGTGTATGTAGCTGCTTGAAACTGTACATTTGAGCTGGAATTAGGACCTCTCTGTATGCTAAACAAATCAGTGAGTCACTGTTCATAGTAACTGTTTGAAAGTCATAGCTGTAGTTTCGGTAATCAATGTTGAGGTTCAACATGAAGCATAAGAGAACCTAAATCTCTGCTGTCAGTAGGCTACAAGTATACTGTGCTCCGCGGTGCTAATTTACATGCCCACTAACCCTCCAAAGAAACAATTTCAATCTTCGAACATGAAAATGATTGAAAAAGTTGTAATTTTTTTGTGAACACAGAACAAATTATGTGAATATACTCAACTTGGAACTTGGGGGAAAGGAGTCAAAGGTATTATACTTCTGAAGATGAAAGGCTGTCTCATGTTTAGGTAAGTTTGGTTGTAATGTATACGTCTAATTTTAATATAAAGGAAATATTTCCAAGGACAGACAAATATCCTATCCACAAGCTGCCTTGCAGTGTTGTCAAAGGCTCATTTAAGGCGCGCCTCAGCCCTAAAGCTCAGAAAAGCTCAAGGAGGGCGCTTCGCCTCGCTTAAGCTGGGTTCAGTGTAGGCAAGCCACTAAGGTGTGCACCTCAATGCCCATGAGTTCTATCTTGAACTGAGCGGTACTAAACAACAAATATTATCAGCAAATAAGTGTATTAGTTGCGGAAGAAAACATTAGGAGTGAATTTGTTTCTTTTTTCTTGAAGTACATATATATTTTTAATTTTTTCCTTAGTTGCGCCTTTTTTTTTTCAAAAGCCCGCACTTGACTGAGCTTTGCGCTTAAAGCCTCAATCGACCTGGATCACTTTTTAGAGCTTTTCGCTTTTGACAACACTACTGCCTTGCATGTAGTTTGAACAACAGCAAGGAGATGAATCTCCACATCTACAAAGCCATGACTAGAGCAGGAACTCAAAATTAAGAGTATAGCAATACTTGAATAGCTTAGTCGTCTATCTGGTTTATGTGAATCACACCTCCAAACCAAAACCAGGACACGAAAAAAGAATTTCACTGTAAAAGTAAGAATCAGATCTAATTGCACAGTTTCAACCCCAAAGGTATCCGTTGGAATCCAAACCCAGAATGTTAGATCAGCAATTATTATGTAATCTAAATGCTCTTAAAATTCCCAAATTTGTGCATCCAATAAAATCCATTATGACCAGCTCGTTTAAACTCTTGAGTAATCTTTTTTCTAAACCGTGACGTCGAGCCAGCTTGTGCGCACCTTGACTAAATCCACGAGGTACCTGCTAGCTCCCACCCACCAGCACAGTAACTCTTGTCCACAAAGGCTTGTACATATGGGAAGAAATAAACTTTCGAGTAATTTTAAGAGGGTGAATCGATTTGTGACATTTGTCAATAATATTTAGGGAAGCTTTTATGCCAAAAGCTTAAGGATATTTAGAAGATGAAACACATATATAGCAAACAAATATGGATAACTTATTCTTGGCATTAAGATGAAACGCATATTTATTTACTTATTTATTGATATGGTTGTAGAGAACCTCTAGTATTAGAGAACACCTAATTATTGGTCCTTAGGGGAATTAGAGTCACTTCTCTGGTCAAAGCAGATTATGCATGACTTTCATTTAGTTTTTTAAATAGCAAAGAGGGATATCCGAGAGCAGAGGAAAATTACATGGTTGAAAGGCGTAAACATAAAATTAGACAAATTTTCAGTATCTTCTCTTGCGTGTGACTTTCACGCTTTTCACTTGTTCTATGATTTTTCTATGTTTCCAAATTTCTCACAAAGTTAAGGCATCTGTAGCACAAATAAGTTTTTAGCTATAAATTTAGTATTGAATGATCAGCAGACTATCACGTGCCCATAAAAGGAAAGGACTTGAACAAAGGAAATCATAGATAAGGGGTATAGCTGCACTGTTAAAGTCTTCAGGTACCTCGAGAGCCTTGCTCTTGTAGTTATAGCAGAAGAAATACGAAAATTCATCCCAAAACAAGTCAGAATCAGCAAGTAAAATAGCTCCCATTAGTGCCCCCTTGTATTAGCATATCAAGAGCTTATAGCAGCACAAAAGAATTTTGCTTTCAAGAAAAGGCACAATGTAACGGATGTGGAGCAGCACAACACAAGATACTTAAATAAGCAAATGTTTAAGTCTATCGTCATTTTCACAAGAAACAGAAAAGTGCATGTATATCTTTGTATCTGATAGAAAGAGAGAGCAAGAGAAAGGGTGAGGTGAGAAGTTACAGTTTATTGAGTCTTCTTTTCCTTGTTTAAAGGCCTTGAAATCTTTCTCAGGACGTTATCATCAATTTTCCTGTACTGTGTCTGAATGACCTTTTGTGCTATAATAAGCTTGTCATCAATTTGATCTTGGTACTTGTCATACAACAGCGGCACTGACAAGCTAAAAAGAATTCCTGAAGGCAAGATACACAATCTAGTCAACGATAAATCCCCAATAACTTATATCGTCCTGACGAGATGCTACTACTCACCCATGTAGATGAAAGTGAGGAAGTTGCAAAAACTACCAACATAAGATATCAGCCACAAGCCAAGAGAAACCTGATAAACCAATCCATATTGATAAGATGTAAATGTGAACATAATATGACGCATGATAAAGGAGAACAAAACATGATGCATGAAATGGAAAAGGTCCCATAAAAACAGACCTTAATAAAAAGTTTTAAGTTCCCACCAATAGCAATATCATGCGCAATCATCAATACATGATTGATCCAAACACGCACCATATCAGCAGCTTTTACGACAGATTCCTCATGAACCTCCATATCAGGGATAGGAGGTAGAGGCCTGGAATTGTAGAAACATTAATTGGATCATTAAGCCATAACAAGTCTTAGTACATCATAACCAAAAAAAGAACATCAAATTGCTCAACGCTATCAAAAATCACAATCGGAATGCATACTCCAATTGAAAAGGCAGAAGAAATGCAACAACCAAGCAGATCAAGGCTTTAATTTTCAAATACTCATAGACAAAATAGATGATCCACCAATTAGTCACAGAGCAATCAGAAACTGAGTATTTTGAAAAAGTTGAATTGAGTTATAATTCATTACCTGTTAAGAAGTGAAGCAGATTTAGCCCAGAAGAAGAGAATCACAACTAGAAGCAACAGGACATTAGCAATAAAGGAAAGAACATTATATCCAGCTCTCTCAAATAGAATCCAAAGAGCAGTGGAACTGACAAGCAGAGTCACACTACCACACCATCTCCTCCACAACAACACATCTGCCACTGCAATCACAATTTAAGCACTTCAGCAATTTTTTTTATCAAACAGTATTTTTTTATAGAAAAACAGATGCTTATACTCGTGATCAATTGTTACTTCACAATCCACAGTGAATTGATGCTGTAATTAATAAATGCAATAAGGTCAATGTCAAATCTGAGTTTATGAAAATGCATGAATTGGGCATTGGATGCATAATTATATACAGAGGCAAGAATATGAAGAAGGCAATACGCAGGCGTAGATGGGAAAGAGACCTGGACCACCACCAAGAGCATGATAAACAAAAGACTGACGATTATCTCCCATGGCGATTAGGGTTTCTGTATACTTCTGCAACCGAAGAATGAAGACCGCAGGGATGGAGGGAGAATCTGAAAGGGCGATGACGGTAATTTTGCGGTCAGGCTATGGTAAATCAGTTTCAACTTTCAAATACGCCTGAGTCGTGCTAGTGAATTAAACAATAACATAATGAAGCAAAAGGATGATGAAAAAAATTGTCAAAAGGACGTTATGACAGAGGGTAAAGGCTTTTGCTTTTCTTTTTCTTTTTTTTTTTTGGACTTTTTACTCGATAATTAAAATGTCTAAGAACGACGGGTCAAATTTAAGATCAAATTAAATTATTTCACTACAAGTAATTGCACGCCAGTAAGGCACATCATCAAATGCACAATAGAGAGTAATCACAATTAGATAAATGGTCTAGTTGGGTAAATTATAGCCGGGTGATTATTAATCCACTGTAAAAAAAATAGACATATTGCATTGTTTGTATCAAAATTTTCTCTCCAAAAGTTACCTAGCCGAACCTGTTCGTATTTATGTATACACTGCTTTTTTAACGGGAGGTCGCGTATTACGGTTGTAGGCTAGGAGGTAGTTGAGTCTTGCGTTACTTTGTACCTTTGTGAGCCTAGTCCGGTAGGGTTTTGTCTAAGAGAGCTAGGGGCAATGTCGTGTCTTACTATTTTCTTTTTCGACGTTGGATCCATTTACTAGCCACCATTTCTGCTTTGCATTTTTCTTCTGCATTTTATGTTCCTATTTTTCCTATGATCTCCGTGATGAATCTAATATCCTCTCCTTTTGTCTTCTTTTTATTATCTTAAGCCGAGGGTCTTTCGGAAACAGTCTCTCTATCCCTTCGGGGTAGGGGTAAGGTCTGCGTACACACTACCCTCCCCAGACCCCACTTGTGAGATTTTACTGGGTTGTTGTTGTTGCTGCTGCTTTTTAACGGGAACATATTTACATTCACCAGCTGTGATCTAAGTTGCATCAGTTGAATGCTTGAGAGTTGTTGATTATTTCACTTCTGCTCCCAGAAAAGAAAGAATATAAAATTATGTGTCAATTTCTTGAATTGTGCGCAAAAGAGAATGACAACTATTGGTGACGCCCACCAACTGCTAGTGGTGTGGTTCAATGATTCAACTGTAAACTCCACTAAAAGATAGGGTGCGGGCCTCCCAAAGACTATATAACAACTAGCTGGACAACGCCTTACTATATTGACAATGGTACCATAGCCTTAGCAGCCAAGCTTGCCCGTCCATGGACCATCTAGATTTCACGAATCAAAGTTTTAAGCCCCCCAGATTCTAGATGATACTAGTTTTTTTCAACTAAATGAACAAAGACAAAATACAAGAGTATTACATATTGGATGTTGAAAAACTGTTCACAAGTTATGTTACATGATCACAAGTTCACGAACTATATAGCTCATATAAGCTCCTGATCCAAGCATCTAGGCAGGGCACACTAAATACGAAGTCAACCACCTCTCCCTCCTTAGTTGTTGTCAGAATCGTCATCATCAGACGACTCTTCCCTGCGGTTTTCTTCTCCACCTGCACTAGAATTACTCTTCTTCTCTTTCTTCCTCTGCTTTTTCTTCTGCCGCTTCGCACGTTTCTTCGCTGTCCGCTCTTCCGCAGCTTTTAATTTTTCTTCTCTTCTCAAGTTGAATTCAGCAACTTCTTTCCTTCTCTGGTAATCTGCGTCCATCCTTGCAAGTCGGTCTTGTTCTCTCCGTCTCATCTGACGGTACTGCAGCAAAAAATCCCCACAAATTGTTATTTCTGCCACTTGACACTGTCAACGTATACTTTAAAACCAGAAATGACCCCTTCGCAATAAATCATTTCTTACACATCATTCAACAGATTGCAATTACAATGTTGATAACCAAAATGCATGTTCGGATATCAAAATGCAGGAAAACACCTATGAAGAATAACAAATTTCAATAGCTTTTGTCAACCATAACTCTGACATATGAACAAATACAGGCTGAGCATCCTAGATTATGCCTCCAATAGAAAGCTTGACCAAGAAAAAGGAAGAACAGTCATCTATACGTATGTATTTGCCATGGACCATACCATGGTAAGCTTGACCATTTATGGAAAGACACCAAACGGCAGGGGCGTACGCATGATTTTTCGTAAGCGGTGTCGATATTTAAGAGAGTGAACAATTGTCAAATCACTGTAACGATACAAATAAACAACAATAATTCGAATCTTATTTAAGAAAAAACGAAATCTTATTGATAATTTTTTTTTTTGTTTTTTTAAAAAATGTTTTCATAATATCCTTACCGGAAATAATACTAAATACTTCTTTTTCTATATAAAATACTGTAAACAATCACTTAAAACTCTATCATTATCTAACTTTTGAAATGGTTTCGACCAACTTCATCGCCCAAGAAAAAGAAGAAAGAAAAAAAATTTAGTAAGACAACTCACCATGGAACTAAGGTTACAGGAAAAATTATTGCAGAAAAGGCACAAAAATCGGTACTTTATAAAACAGCATGCGTAGCTGCCTAAGTTCGACCCCAGAACCTCACCTAAAGAGGAGGAGCGCGTCACCAGGAGGGCAAGCAAACTATACGTCAAAAGCAGTGTCATTTAATTATTTATAAGTTATTTGTACATATCAATAAGTTACACATATTTAGTGAACTTTTCCAGCAAAGCGGTGTCGGATGACACCGCTTCCACCATGGTGTGTCCGCCCCTGCCAAACGGGGCAGGGGGAAATCAGTTTTAATTTCAAGTAAGCCGTAACTTGAATAACGAGTTCATTTTAGTTATTGGCATAGCTCAATGTAGCTTCTTTTAGGCATCGCTTCAAATTTCCAGATTTAGGTAGCTGATGAAATACTATCCAGTTTCTTCTCAGCGTTGACTGATTCAGCATGCAGTCAGATATAAGAAGACATATATGCACATATATACGCGACTCGAATACTACCCATGCACATTTGAGCTCAAAGCAACAATATGAGTCACTAAAGTCAGCATATATCGTATTATGGCAGTAATGGAGGAAATAAACCAAGACAAGCTCCAGGTCGATGAGTATACACTAAATACTCATACTGCTTAAGATGAACTATTTGCACCCCACGAACATCTAAACGCAATCGTAAAATTGTATTTTGCCTACAATATATATACATAACTATAATCCTAACATCAGCAAATATTCTAGCACCCAATTATTTTCAAGATAACAAAATTGCAAACTTAGCAGACACTAGACGTTTTGCAAATAGTGAAATCTTCAACCAGACAAGAAAAAACAGGCAGAGTTATTGTTCAGTTCAAACACTTTGATCCCATTTCACAACTAACTCGTTCAGGTTAGGCTTGAGGCAACTAGAAAGACGCAGTCATCTGTGATTTGCTTGCATTTAGTTACAGGATTGTGTTCCAATCTTTTCAGGAATAAGAAAAGGAAAAACTTAAGGAAAAGCCACTTGAACTTACTGGAAGTAAATATGACAAAACTACAAGAAATTTCAAGGGTCAGAATAGCAGATTTCAGAGTCAGTACAGAGTCCACGAAAACAAGATAATAAAACGAAATTGCCTGGGCAGAATAACAAATCTTTCTCTACACTCTAAAGCACATTTCTTCTACTAATTTCAGGAAGGATTAGGTTAGTGCAATCATTTACACATATCTACTTCCACTTTGACCACTAAAAACCATTGTAATCACTTGCAGCTTTTACGGAATGAATATCCGACCTCCATTAACTCTTAAAACTTCTTCAATATTCTTTCGAGAGTGGATACTGCTTCAATCTTTCAAAATGTTAACACTAAAATAAATAAGATATTGAACCTTTAGCAATTTGGGAGCTATTTCTTACCTACCTATTTGCCTGCGTCTGATATATTATTTCTTTCAAAGGTAATCTTCACTGAAATTTATCTCACTTCTAGAGTTCTTGAGGACATGTCTCATCCTTTTGACATTTTACAAATGCAATGCAATAAAAACATAGGCCTTCTTCAATAAACAACTAGCACTTCTATTTTCTTCTTCAAAATAGAGCATGCATTCTCAATTCCTGGCCCCCTAGAGTGCTATCTTAACTGCATTCCCTTTCTTCACAGAGCAAACTATACACAAGAGATGGCTTTTCCGCCCTTTTAAGTACTGCTGTTGCAATCTCTTTCTCTCTCATGGAAATTCTCTAGAACTAAACTACTCTCATCCCCACCCTACTACTTCAGCTATTGCTTTATTATTTGAGCACTCACAATCTGCAAACAGGTTCCTTGGAACTAGGAAGCTTTGCACAAGAAACTAACTATATTTCCTACCAAAGACCTATGGTTGAAAATTAAGCTCGACATGAATTACAACCAAGTAGATACTGAGAGCAAGAAAAGTCAGTTGATGAGACAACAGTAAAAGCAGCCAGAAGACATCATTTCAAACCATAGTTGGACCGCAAAGTGACACCAAACTATCGACAAGGCAGAAAAATGATGCTGAAATTTGGAGGCATCGCTTGTGCAGCTGTCAGTGTTGAAACACATGTGATTGCTTCCAATAAAAATTATGCCCCTACTGTCCCCAGTGGCAAATCTTGCAGGTCAGGCCTGCCAAGTGCCTCTTTCTTCCTAATTAGTAGGAAAGTAAGGGTAGAAGGGGTATGTCAAAGTGGTGTAACTACTTTTGGCTGTTTCCTCCATGAGATTAGCCCAAAACACGCAGACTGACGGATTATAAAGAGCACCTAGGCCCTCTAGGTAGGACATAAGCTCCATCAGGCTATCTGAAAGTGATCTCACTTCTCATCTGAATTTGCCTAGCCACCACGACACGGAGCCCTATCATTGGATTCTATAGCATCACCAGAACATTGTAAGACGAGTTTCTGTTCAAGTTGAAAACGTAAGGAACAGACCTCTTCGCGTAACTTATAATTCATCTAGTGATAATGCAGTAAACAGAAGGAAAAGGAAGAATGTGTCATCAACAAAATTATATCTTTATTGATTCTAAAAAAAGGACAACAGAAGGAAAAGGGTTCTTAATACGATGCTGAGTTTCTTCTTTGTGAGAAGAATTAGGGACACATAGGATATTAACTCAATCACATTTTATGACATGAACTTCAGCAAAATAAGTGAATTAGTAAATAGTGTATCTGTTGAGTTTCGCCAGAAAGTCATTTCACTAGTA